TTTTATTTTACTTTTATTTATCCCAACATTGGGATTACCAGCATGCACCACCACACCCTGTATCAGTGGCCAGCACAGCACACCCAGGGCTTGGGGGCCAGCACAGTATGTAGGACCATGGATCAGACCCAGGTCCTTGCACTTGCCAGGCTGGTGCTCAGACCCATGAGCTATCTCCCCAACCCAAATATATATATATTTCTATTCTAGGTACAGTGGCCCTAAGAGTAAATTCTATATGTATGGATTAAACCAAATGTGGTTTGAAAACATTTCCAAAAGAAATTACATTTTACTGAACATGCACACATTTTTTTCCTTGTCATTATTCTCTAAAGAATACAATGTAGCAAGTAGTTACACAGTAATTAATTTGTATTAAGTATTTTCAGCAATCAAGATGATTTAATACATATAACCTATACATATAGGTTATATGCAAATACTGTCATTCATAAGGGATTTGAACTTTTACAGATTTCAGTATCCTTGAAGGTTAATGGAAGCGACAATACCACACAATATGCAAAACATACCTATCTTTGACGGTAAAACCATAAGGGCCTACGTATTGTTACATTCAATTTTAGCAAGTATCAGTTTCTCAAAGTGATTATGTTAATTCATATCCAAACCAGCACTATGAGAATTCGACCTATTTTTAAATATATTTTTATTGAATTCAAGAATTATTCATTGTAGGGCTGGCCAGATAGCTCAGCAGACTAAAGCACCTGTGTAGGCAGAGCACAGTGGCTGGGGCTGGATCCTTGGCATGCCATGCTGGTCCTGCCCATGGGGCACGTTGAGACAATGATTGAGAATGGACATGGTGGTGCATGCCTGTTATCTCAGTGCTTGGGAGGCTGAGAACAGGAGAATCACTATGAGTCAGATCTACCTGAGACCCTGTACACCCTGCGCACCCTGTAGACCCTGTCCTAAAATTCATTTTTAAAAAAATTATTCATTGTTTTATTTCAATTTATTATTATAGATTGATATTCTTTTATTAGATGGCAAGCTCCACAAGGTCAGAAACTCTTGCACATGAAGTCTTCTATGTCTTACTTAGTACAATAAACATGGTATAAATGAGCAACAAGTATGAAAGAATGATTCAAGATGAGGAAATCTATCAAGTCAAAGGGTTAAAAATCCACACAATCATATTAATAAATAAAACTAGTTGTTCACATATGAAAAATACAAAAGATCTATGAAGAGTCAAACCTCATTAGCAGATGATATAAATGTAATTATCACTCCTATTCATTGTTATATAGCTTATTCCTAATCCATAGCAATATACAAATGTCTCATGACCACTTCCCATTTCCAATGACTAGCTGGATATTTACCTCCAACAGTTACTATTTTTTGTATTTTTGCTTCTTATAAAACATTCTTTACCCTTTGTAGTAAACATTAAAATATTTCTGAGTTATTTAAAGTATAGCTCCATGCATTTTTAATTCTTAAATTTGAAAAGTTAAACTTCTACTTAAAAATATTGTTTTTGAGCTTAAATGATCAATACAAATCATAAGAATTAAACATTTGTAAAAACTAACTCCTAGAAAGGATTAAATTAAAACCTCAGTGGTAGGGCTGAGCCGAATACAAACAGGAGGAAGGATTCTGTACCTATACCAGGTCCCCACAAGGAATGTAATCATTACGTACTGCAAACACATACTAATAAAAATAAAAATGTCTGAATCTGAATCATGTTCTAATCATAAATGCCAAACATATAGCCATCTTCTTAAATTCCAAAACTATTTCTGGGCTTTCCTACTGCACAGTAGGAGCATCTATATTTTGACTCTCACCTGACGCTGTTCTGGTTTTTGTTTCTGAGTTTGAACATGCCGAATAGCCCCCTAAGCCTCCGCGAGGTGATGAGTAAGCACGACTACTCCATGAGCTCGTGTATGGAGGAGGATAGGAAGGGTGGTACCACGAGTCTGAAAACGGTGTTGCTGCCCT